TATAAAAAAAACTGGAGACCATATCTTTGCTCCTAATTATTCGATTTTAACGATTTTTTTGTTTTTTAGGAAATTCGGTAAACTTTTTGAAAACCAAAGTATAAACTTTTTGAGTTATTCGGAATTGAATTTTACTATCCCTCGTAACTTTTTTCCAGCTTCTTTTCGTTGAAGTATGTTATATAGATAAATTTAAAGGGAGTCGAGAATTGACTTTAGCAAAGTTTCATTAAAATCGGTACATTCGTTTAGAAGCTACAGTATACAGCAACGTATGTTTTTCGACCGAAAGTAAAAGGCGGATATTAATGTCGATGAAGGAGGACCATCCTCTGGCTACCTCTGATTTTATATCCAACTTTGACAAAAATCGGTACAGTAGTTTTGAAGAAAATGCGAAGACGGCGGACGGCGGACGGACAAAAAAATTTGTATTCGTTTTTCGGATTCTACGCATCCTGAAACGTGAAACCTGAAATCTTGAGAGAGAGCTAAGTTTTTGAACTTTTCGGTCGATCATAATGGTTGATTATTGAAAATAATAAACCAATACAATTAACATTAACCTGGAAAACCTAAATTATAATCTTATATACGATAGGCAACAAAAGAAACATTTCCTTCATAAAAAAAATTAATAATAATAGGAAAAAACAAAGAAATTTTAAAGATTAACTATTTGTGGCAAAAAACAAAACAAAACAAAATCAAGGATCTTCCTCTCCTTTACACTGTGGTATATCGTCCTCCCCATGTTCCATTTGATCAGTCCTTCGAATCAACCCTATTCAACTTCGTTCCTCTATATCCCAGAATAATCATCTCCGGTGACCTCAATACCAATTTCCTCTCTAACTCCAATGACAAATCCTATCTAGAAAACCTAATTTTCTCTCTGCACCTCTTCATAGTTCCATTTTCCCCCACCCACCACACCAGCAGGTCAGACACTTGGCTAGACTTCTACATTATAGACTCTGTACAAAATCTCCTCTCCTCTTCTCAATTGCCAGTATCATTCTTATCATCTCACGATCTTATACAAATAACATATAATATCCAAACTCCTTCAATCCAACCTCGAACTATCACCTTACGTCACCTAGATTCCCTTACTCGAGAAAAAATATTACCTGACCTAGAAACCCTAGACTGGAATGGAATATATTCTTGCTCTTCCATCGACTCCATGGTTGACATTCTTACCACCAATCTTCTCAATATTCTCAATACCCATGCTCCCCTCAAAACCTCTACCTTTCGTCACCGGCCTGCTCCTTGGATGTGTCAGGAAATCAAAGATCTGCAGAAGAGGCGCGACGCTGCCCGAAGACGTTTTAGACGTACGAGGCTTGCAGATGACTACCAAGCGTTCAGGGTGCTTCGCAACTTGGCACAGACAAGGATCCGGCATGCGAAAACTTCCTACTTCCATGAAACCCTTTCCTCAGCTCCTGATATCAAATCGAAATGGCTACTGCTTCGTAAACTTTCCATTGGCAATCCTTCCAGATCCCCTACCGCAGCCTATCCTGTATCCTCCGATGATTTAAACTCTTATTTTATATCTGTCGCTAATACCTCTTCTCTACCTTCCTCTTCTGGCTTTGCTCCAGAGATATCCTTTAACGACAATAACTTTTATTTTTCCGACATTTCTCCCACAGACTTGTTAACCGCGTTAATGAAATCCCACACCAATTCCATAGGGCCAGACGCCATTCCTGTCAAATTAATTAAAATATGTCTACCTGAAATCCTCCCAGCTCTCCTTTTTATCTACAATTTCTCCCTTTAGAATTCAGTATTCCCTACCTCTTGGAAAAAAGCCATTGTCCTTCCTTTAAATAAAAAGCCTAATCCATCCTCAACCGAAGATTTCCGTCCAATTTCAATTCTTTCTAACCTCTCAAAGCCTCTTGAAAGACTGGTGCAATCCCAAGTCTCCAAGTTCCTCGAAAATTCCAACCAATTTGATCCTCTCCAATCTGGTTTCCGTCCCGGCTATTCCACACAATCTGCCTTAATTAAAATTACCAACGACATTCAATCTGCAATAGATGATAGAAAATTAACTGTCCTTATTCTTCTAGACTTCTCCAAAGCTTTCGATTCCATCAACATTCCATCCTCTTCAACAAACTAAAATCATTATCTTTCTCCAATAGTTCCATCTCTTGGTTCCAATCTTTCCTCTCCCAACGCACCCAAGCAGTCTCCATACCCAACCAACCACTATCTGCTTTCCTTTCTTTATCCTCTGGAGTTGCCCAGGGTTCAAGCATATCTCCTCTCCTTTTCAGCTCCTACATTAACGACCTACCTAAATCAATTATCCATTGTTCCCATCACCTTTATGCAGATGATTCCCAGATCTACCTATCCTTTTCTCCCTCTGTGTTACTGGGGGCATTTGCCAAGATTCAAGAAGATCTTGATCGAATCAATGCCTGGGCAAATATAAATGGATTAAAGTTAAATGCTGCCAAAACTCAGGCCATCGTCATTGGTTCCAAGCCCCTCATTAGATCCCATACTGACTTTCCCATATTACACCTTAATGACCAGCCAATTTCCTTCTACTCCTCTGTTAAAAATTTAGGATTTTTCATACATCAAACCCTCTCCTGGACCAACCATATTTCTCACATTTCCCGTCGGACAATCTCTACCCTTAAACTATTTCATCGCTTCCGCCATCTCCTACCTCAACATATCCGTAGACTCCTAATTTCCTCTCTCATCTTCCCCCACTTTGACTACAGCTGTGTGGTGTATGATGGCCTCTCGATGGAGCTCCGTGATAGACTGAAAAGATTAATGAATAGCTGCGTAAGATTTGTTATTGGTGCCCCGAGGTACTCCCATGTCTCTCACCACTACACTGAGTTAAGGCGGCTCTACCCCTCCTTCCGAAGACAATACTTTCTAGGTACGTTCCTCTACCAAATCATCAACAACCATCGTCCTTCTTACGCCTACAACCTTCTCCAGTTCAAATCCTCAGTCCATTCCCTGTCCACAAGATCTCGACCTTCTGACCTTTACATGCCTTCTCACAGATCTGCCTCATTCCAAAATTCCTTTATTGTTCGCTCTGTCAATTTCTGGAATTCCCTCCCTATCAAAATTCGACATTCCCCCTCCATATCCACATTCAAATCCCTCCTATTCCAATTCCTATCACAAAAACAGTCAGATACTTGCTAACCATTCGAGCGGATTTTAATAGAGAATTTGATATATTTTTATTTTTCAATTCTTTATTTTTTTCGGAAAAGTGTATACTGGTCTAAATAGCTTTAAGTTTCTTGTCATAGTATTAATGGTTTTGTATATAGTTTAGTTTGTTTTGTATATAGAGTTTTTACCTTATATTTTTTTTACATTATTTCTTTTTTTCGCTTTATTTTGTTTTGGCCACATGTAATATTTTAATTTTGTTCTAATTTGTTATTCTCAAGGGACTGTGTCCCAGAATAAAGTTATTTTTCTATTTCTATTTCTAAGGTAATGCCAGCTCTGAGTTATAGTAGCTTTTAGATACTACTTTGTTAATGCATCAGTTTACAAGAAATAAATCATCTCGTATTTACTGTACTGTATAAAAATCTATTTTATCGTACGTTATAAAATTGCAAAAGCTGTTCTCTAACTAAGAGGTCTTGACATTCAAGTAATGACGGAGTTCCATTATAAAATTAGTGAGCTCAAAATAAATTAACCAGGCCTGGTTTATGGAGATGGTGAAGCTTGCTATTCAGCTGGCAGCCTATGATGGTAGAGATTGGCGGTATCGAATCTGAAAAGAAAAAGGGCAGTCGATCTCTTTCATACTTGCGGTATCGCCTGCTTCATTGGCTTCCGTAGATAGAATAGACGAAGGGCATAGTGGGGAACACTATCTACTAGCTCTTAATCCAATTAATATAAACATTTGGGTGTTTATAACCAAAATAAATATACTCTCTCTGTCATTTATTAATACAAAACAAAATAAATATTTTTCCCTGGTAATAACTATTGTGAATAATTTTTAAAAAAGAGTTAATGTAACGGCCTTAACAGGTATTATTCTGGGAAATTATGTTTTTTCTCATTAACAAATAAATGTGGGTAATTGTAGTTGTAAAAAAAAGAGTTTAAAAAACAAATATAAGAAGGTATTTTAGAATTATTGGGTAATTTATGCAAGATAATTTATAAGTATTTGAATCCGGTTGTGTAATTCTCATTAAAGAAATAATTTAAATTATTTTATAAAGGAAGGAGATGGGTCCGGGGTGGCGGTCATAAATAGGCTAAATAGTGGCAAAACTCTTTTATAAAAGCCAACGTTTTGATCCGACTTTGTAGGTTTTCTTCAGGGCTAAAACGGACAAGATACAAACAGATAGAGATTTATCAGTTCTAGCCCTCAAGAAGATCTGCAAAGTCTTCCCCCGCCGAAGACCGCGCCCCCGCCACCCCGGACCATCTCCTTCCTTTATAATGCAACGGTCAACTATTAAATATTCAATAAATTATTTTATTGTTAATAATTCCAACAGTGTTACAGAATGAATGACTAAGAGTTCGGCTATATTATCAAAAATGGGATAAATTGTTACTTGAAACAGTTTTCTAAAAGTCAATTGGATATTTTGATTGCATGCGTTTTCAATCAATTGATTGATTCAATAAAGCTCTAGGCCACATTGTTGATTCGATCTTTACATCTGGTTCTTGACCTTCCACGTGGTTTCTGCTAAGGAGCCATTCATTGTTGTGTAGAAGCTTCCTGATGGATTGAACCGAGCTATATACGCTCTGCCCATCTTAACATCCTTGCCTTCATATGAGATTGACCCGTTTCTGTATGTAATTCTTTTTTATTATTTCTCATGTTATGATTAAACATATTATATGTCAATTATACTCGTATTATATCATATCAATTTATTGATGATAAATCAATAATTTATCTACTCTGAAAATTATCAAACAATCGAATTACTCACTGATTCCGGGCGAAGTTCACCCACATCTTGACCAACAGCTTGGACAGTTCTACATCTTCTGGCTTAGGCCAATCTTTTGAAGTAAAAGTTGGCTCGTACAAATAAGCCAGTTCTGCACCGTGCGGAACTCCTGGAGAAGAATTATGACATTAGGATTATAGTAGAAAATATAATGTCGGTTTGTTGCCTGCAGTAACATATTTTTACCATAACTAATATACGAAATATAATAAAGTATTGTGATCGTGGAAAATGTCAAATATGAGATCTCAACAAAAATACGTGTTATAAGGTCTCCTTAATCCAAATAATTGTGTTGCAAAATGACATGAATGTGTATATGAGGTCGGAGTGTGAGTTTTTATGAAAATAGTCTAGCTAAAAATTAAATGTACGAATATGACATATTTAAGGATTATGAAAGTGCCACTTCAAATAATCGATTTTAAACTTGTTTACTATGTTTTTTGTAACGGTTCTAACGACCTTGTTTAAACTCGTTGAATCAATGTTTATATTGATATCAGCTAGGTCTTATCGTTATCGAACTAGTCTGATATGGTTTATATGCAGAATTTTCAAAATGCCTTCTTACAAAGTATCTTAAATTTAGATTATTCAAGATGATTTAAGGCCTTTCATTGTTAATAGTAATAAAAATGATTATATACAAAGTCGGTGAATGCAATGAAGTGTGACAAAAAACCAGTGACTTACTTTTTTAAACTATATATTATTTTATGGAAACTAAATGAAAATTTAAAAATATCATGCATATAATTTTATTATTATCACTCAAAAAATAATTCCGCTTTCAGATCAGGAAATGTATTATTTGACATGCCTATAGTTTAAAAACTGCTCGTTCAATTTGGGACAAACTTGGAGAAAATGTGGAGAATATTATAAAAATTACCTAGTACAAATTTCATTGAATTTCATTTAATAATTAAATTAATATAAATAATAATCAACAATATAACAACATAAAAATATAATCGCTGTGAAATGTGAAAGGCATTGGTCATATTTAATGGGAGTTAGGTTAAGACATGTTATAAAATACTAGGGTTATAAAATTTTAGGTTTCATTCTAAAAGTTAATTTATACTATATTGTTTGGTCGATCCCAAACGTTGCATTCCACTCACTGCCGTTACTTTTATTTCGTGTGAATTTAAGAAAATTTAAATTAATTTCCACTCTGGGTTTGTTAAAAAAAAAAAGGCTTATTTGTGATTGTGTTTATTTTTATTGAAGTTCAACAGCCCATCGTGGTCTCGATTTCTCATTTAAATATCACAGTTGTGTAAACTTAACGCATATTTTTATATTACAGCTTAATTAATCTTGCTCTGACTGAAGAAGTATTGGTCTCGATAACTCCGAACAAAAAAAAAAATATATTTTTTCCTATGGATTGATTGTTCTATCCATTTTACGAGTGAAAGCATACGTCTTCAGTATATATCACCACTGTTAGTGCAAAAGATCGTATGTAAAAATTCTCAAGTTTTATTCTATTTGTGCTAAAGGTGGTATTTTGTAGTCTGCAACAAATGAAATATAATAGAGGACAATAAAATGTGAAATAATACTAATGAATCATAAAAAACATTAGACTTTCCTATAAAACACTCAATTTTTACATACGACCTTTTGCTCCAACAGTTCTGATATTCATGTTCAGTACGCACTGAACTTTTTTTTTTAAATTACGAATCATCGCATATGCAATCTGCGAATGCGGAAGTATTTCGCATTTTAGTATTCCGCATATGAACAAAACTCATGGATATCAAACTCGTATGTATTGTGGGATTATTGAATTTCCGAAAACGGCCTCTTCTAGAGATTTTATTCTCAGATGAAAAATTGTAGACCTTGTAATATAGATATTCTTTGCAGACGTTTTTCCTACAATTATGTTTTTTACATAACATCTTTCAGTTGTATCATTTACCTGGATGATCAATGTGCGCGAAGGGCACCGATGGCCCTCGAGTGTAGTTGAACTTGAAAAAATATGTTGGCCCAGGATGTCTATTTAAGCCCTTCATCGAAGGGTACACAAACATGTATTCTGTCATAAACTAAAAAACAAAACAAAAAAAAAAACATACATAAAATATAAATTAATAATTATTCGGTATGAAAAATCTGTCATAACATTATATGTGTCATTTTATTTTTTATGCTCATAAAATATTATTCAATAAAATTGAAATTTGAATTAATGGGATCGCGCTTTAATGATTCGTTAAAACTAAACTCATCTATCAAGAGAAAAAAAAATGAAAAAAAAAAGAAATACAATGGAGAAATAGTTGACTGAACATAATACCGTTAGACATTAGTTGCAGTTAGTGAGAAAACACAAATAAAAATAAATAATTATTGTGTTGTTTTTTTTTAAGTATTAGGCTAAAGGTCACCAATAATTATTGTATTATTATAGGATACCTTTGCCCTAATATTTTTTTAAAAACCATAAAAAATAGTACCAAATCTAAAAAATATAAAAATAAAAATAAAATATTTTTATTTTCTTTCGTGCTGACGTTTCAGCTTAAGTTTCAGGTATTTATCAGGGCTAAGGAAAGAAACAATAACAACTAAAAAATAATTAACCTATTGTATAATGATTTGAGAATATTATATGTAATCTGCTAACAATAGGATTTTGATTAAAATCTTGAAGACAGAAATATAAAAATGTTAGGAAGTGAATGAAAATTAAATTATATGGGTATTGTATGTAATGGTAAGATATAAAAATAAAAGTTAAATATAATGATATGTAGTACATTTAAAAAAAATAATATAATACGATTGTGGAATACAGGTGATCAAAATATTTTTTTATAATATATAATGGTAAATTAGACCAGTTCATTTGAGTAGTGCTAAATAAAATTAATAGCTGGTGAATAGTGAACATGAGATATATAAAAAGTTAATGATAGGAAATTATTAAATTATTATTATTTACTTAAGCACTTAATAACTGTTACTTTGTCACCTTTTACTTTATTACTTTGTAACCGTTACTTTATAACTTTCTATTTTTATGTGTGGATATATAAAATAGGCAACACATATTTTCCATTCACTAATTATTAATTTTATATTTAATTTGCATCTTTTAGTTCCTGAGCCCTGATGAAATCTTGAAAATTAGCCTGAAATCGTTTGCATGAAACAAATGTTATATTATTATTTGAAATTCTCACTGTCTGCAGCTTCCCGGTTAATACGTTTGCTGCGGTTACGGTCCCCGGCGTCTATTAAATATAATGATTATTTACTTTTGTATCTATAATTACATCTATCCGATTCCCATTCAAATGTTATTAAAAATTACCATTTTAGAGCTTCGTAAGATAGGCAAAATTCAGAAAAATCCCGGCCGATGTGTTAACTTTCCAATAAAAAAAAAAAAATGATAAACACATCATAATTATTTATGGTATTTATTTATATATGTTTTTTTTAGTCTTGTTTGTCTCTATGTCTTTGTGAGAATTTCAATATTCAATTGAGTTATTGAAATTTTTAGTCTAAAGATATAATATCGTTTGTGTGTTTAAGTTTGATTGAGCCTTATCTTATATTCATTTTATCATTTATATTATGCAGTTTTCTCTGATTTGAATTTTTAACTTTTTTTCAATGCCCAATTTTAATAGGGCTTGGCTAGTTTTTACGAAACATTCTGAAAAACATCCTAAATAAATGAAAATAATTCATACAATTATATGTGGTGCATGTAATTATGGTATTTTTATTTAAAATATACGATGTTTTCTTAATTATTACCTAGTTGAGGATAAAGTAGCTTATTTGTTCTGGGGGAGTTTATGGAGGGCGCGCATGTTCTTAGTATGGGAGCAGTCGTCCATAAAGCCAGTTGCTTCAATTCAGTAAAGCTTAGATTAAGCGTTATCTAACATTAAACCAAGTTTAATCTTAATCGGTCGACCATAGGCGCTTAATCTTTACTTCTAAGAAAAACTTAGTTAACAAGGGTTACCTTTGGCAACTATGATAATCTTCCACGGTGTTTTAGCTGTATCTTTTGTGTTTATCATTTTTATTTATCTTTTCTCTTTCAAAAAGAGATGTTGAAGACCTCACAGATGACGAGGATTTCCTCGATGTAATTGAATTTTTACTAATGGAGAAAAAATTATATCGTTCTCGGATGAATCATTATCTCCACTGGTCTGATGATGAATTTTGTGATAGATTTAGATAGATATTTTTTGATAAATAACACTAATTTATTTAACTTTGACTTTCGTTAAACGAAAACAAACACTCGAGAAGACATTGAGAAGCTCACTCAACAAAGAACTGTAAAAAAAACCTATTCTAGTAACCTCCTACGTCCTTCCTAAATCTTGGTTTAGATTTAACTTTTTACCAACGATCGAAAATGGTGATAACAGATCTGAGCTGTTACTAGTAGATTAAGCTCAGATAACTAAATCTTGGTTTAAGTCGTGAATTGTACAATTGGCCCTTAGTGACACAACCATTGGTTAGAATTAAATGAAATAAAATACTTACATTCCGGATAGCTATCAATGGTTTAACGCCTTCAGTAAAAAATCTCTCTCTTGCTCTCAGAAAGTCACTATTCCTGTTTTCCAAATGGAGTTCCGAGATAATAGTTTGATTGAAACTATCAATAAATTCTTCTGTCTCTTTCTGGTTTTTAAAATGGTACTCATAAACTGCAATAATAATAAAAATCGAATTAAAACGTACACTTCTGGAAGATTTATAAATCAAACACGTAGACAAAATAAGTTAATGTGTTGTTTAGTAGAACTACGAAGAGGATCTATGAACATAAAAAAAATACATTATTTATTTCCTATTTTATAATTATTTCACTGAAAATGCGTTAGTTGTTGTTTTAAAACGGTCTAGAGAATCAAAGGCAACTATCGAAAAAAAGTTATCGATATAGGATAAAAGCACCCATAGTGTACCAATACTACTCGAAAACTTGGAATAATAAAATTTCAGGATCTCCTAGGCCTCTATTTCATATATTTTTAATTTCTATATTTTCTCCTTGTCCCGAAGTACAAGCATCTGTCGGTAAGAGAAACATACCTTATTTTTACCTTTATCTCGTTAGCCACATTTATGATTTATTCCAACATTTTTGTTTGATTGTTTTTCGTAGTGTTTTTGAATTATATTTTATCTATTTTTATCTTATCTTGGATATTTTTATCTAAGAAATTGGATATTTAATGAGTTACTGGAGCCTTATAATGGTGATTGTTGCCAGTAGTTGACAGGCCTGTACTTCCATAAAAAACGCTGCAAATTCTCCGCAATGGTTTATTATTTCCAAACAATTTAATATCAAAATTAATATTACTTTTCGAGTAACATAAAGGAATATAAATAAAAAGAGATTCCTAACATTGGCCTCAATAATTTTCTTTTAATCATTGATAAAATAAAAAAAAAATAAGCATCGTTGCTTCAGCTGATGTAAACAAATGTAAAAGACAAAAACAAAAGATATAAGTTTTTTAAAAATATTTAAAACACCATACCTTTGTACCCAATTATCCGATATCAACGATTTAAAAAAAAAAATTTAAAGGTCATTTCGTGAACTTTTAAATTCCATACAAGTTTCATTAGTTAACGAATCGGAGGCAGTGGAGACTTTATAAGTAATGTTTTTATTCATTATGTTACAAATGGCATCTAAAATACAGGATAATATACTATGGATATATGGGTTGACTACATGAGTTCACTCCAGCTCTCCGTTAACAATTAAGAGTATGACATCAAGAGAATTAACTACATGAGTGATTAGTCCAGAGAAGGATGGGGCTTATATTCCCAAGGATATCAAGGGGTGAAGGGAAGAGTGGGAGAAGTCGGAAGAGGACGGCAAAGGAAGTTATGAATAGTTAATATTCTTAAGATGTCTGTGAGAAAGTGCCCTTTGGCTGAAATCGCCAGTACATTCTAGATAACTATTTATAAGCTATCAGAGATAGCCTGACCTCTCTATCTAGGGTTTTGTGCTTTTATGTGAGAATAATAATAATAAATAATAAGGCTTAGCGAACCCGAAGGTTCGATGCCGACACCACCAATCGCTTGTTACACACCTCCCTCCACCGTTCGCCGTCCAAACCCAGTCCCTTCAGATCGGCTTTAATGCAATCTTCCCACCTTCGCTTCGGTCTACCCCTCGGACGCTTACCATTTGGCACAGCAAATGTTAATCTTTTAGGAATTCTCTCGTTACTAAGCCCAACAACTTTACAAGCCCATTTGATTCGCCACGATGAAATTACCTCAATTATATTACCCGGATACAGCTCACGCAATTCGGCGTTGTGTAACTGTCTGAACTCTCCGGTTAACTCATCCTTCTTTGGTCCGAATATTCTACGCAATACTTTATTTTCAAAAACCTTAAGACGCTGCTCATCCCTTAATGTAAGCGGCCAAGTTTCGCATCCATAAAGAACTGTAGGCAAGATAATTGTTTTATAGATTCTAATTTTTAAGTTCGATGCCTTTAGGGGTCCACCAGACTTGCTGGAGAGTGTGACGTAGGATTGAACGTCCTACTTACATATCTTTAGTTCACCAAACACCACAAAAAGTCATGGATCTCCCTAAGGTAAAACGCTCATTTATGTGAGAAACTAAGAGATAAAACATGATTCACCAATTGGCATATCAAATAAAAAAAAGTTAAACTAATATTAACATTATTTTTATTTGTTACGGATTAAGTCCATTCCGTAACTAATGAAAATGGTACATTCGTTTAGCGTTTAGTGCTGCAGTCTATACTAACAAAGGTTTTTCGGCCGCCATCTTGGAAGAAAAAGGCAGATAGTAATGTCGAGGTAGGAGGATCATTCTTGGGTGATCTCTGCCTTTGATTCCAAATTTGAAAAAAAATCGTTCTAGTAGTCTCGAAGAAAAGCCGCTCATGAACAAATTTTTTTTATTCGATTTTCGAATTCTACGCTTCGTAAACCATAAAACCTTAAGTTTTCGTGGGAGGGAGGGATTAAATTTTTCTGACGATTACAATGGTTCGTTATTGAAAATAATATACAAAAAAATCAAACATCTTTAATCAAATAGGAAACCCGGGCAATTATTCTATATTATTCTTATTTTTAACTTACGTAATGTGTAAATCATTCCTTCGTCCTGGCACACTCCGACAATCCAGGGAAAGTTATGGTTTGCGTTTGTGGGCCAACTCGTCAGCAAGGCTCCATTTGCGTTCACAGGTTCCAGAACGGGGAATACATCTGTTATTCTTGTTATTTCCTGAAACATTAAAATATTATTTAAAATTGGAGGATATCCTCACAAGTATATTAGATGTCTACAAAAACAAGGAGGCTGGATGGAAGAGCTGTTCCAATACGTGTTCACAATACGCCTTGCCAAGGAACCTGATAAACCGAAGTTAAATAACTAATTTATTAACGCGTTTCGTTGCTGGAGTTTAACTCTTGGTGAAATACGTCGCCCACTCCATCGGGCCCATACAGCCTGAAAGGGGAGGAAAGGATAGACAAAAAAAATGTCCACCAAAAGTTTAAATTTTAGTTTATTATTAATTAGGAAATATTGACATTCTATGTAGAAAATAAGTAGTGACGACCCGACCATAGATTCCATAAAAAAAATAAATAAATAAAAAATAAAAGAAATCAACTTAAAGCTAATAAACAAGCAAAGATCCTCTAAGGTAGAGCTGAGAAATTTAGGACTTGAAACTCTTAGATAGAGGCGCATTATACTCCATATACGTGTACTCATATGGTTCTGAGAATATTTCAAGAGAAGCTGGCAATTACCTTTGATAGCGAAGTCAAAGGCAGTTTATCTCACCTATGATGAAAACGACAAAACCGCAAAAATTTTTGATGCTAATTGATTCTCGCAGTAATAATTGACATTTCTTATACTTCGTGTTGTTCTACAAATCAACTCAATTGAATCCAGGAATCGATTGATTGCCCAATTTTTAGAATCTACAAATTTTGTTCTACAATGGGTACCGTAATACTCTAGATTACCAGGTAATGAAATAAATGATTAATTAGTAAGTAATGGTGCTGAAAAGGATCAGCCAGATATGCCAATACCTTTCTTGACGGCAAAAATTTTAATTGAATCATAAGTCATATGAGCATTGGGTGTGAAATGGCAGTTTGAGCTGATCGAGAAACAATGAACTTAACTACTTGAAGAATAGCGACGCGTGCCAGGAGATCACAAAGTGAGACCGTTGCATGGTATCGGATAAAGATTGGACATGAATATCTTCAAAGCCACCTCCACCGTATTGAAGTATTGAAGAAAAACATGCTCCCTGTGTCGAGAAGAATCTATGACAGACAGCTCTGCATCTATTGACTTGATTTGGACTACTGCAGGATGTCAGATCTACACCTAAGACTGAGGGTAAGGGATACTATTCTGCTTGATGACGCATGACCAAAACGGCTCAAGACGGACGATCAAGACAGGTTAAATATATATATATATATATATATATATATAATATATAGACAAGAATCTAGTAGGAAGCATTTTGGAACCTTGGTTTCTAAAACAATCCTTACTGGTTTCTCTTGCACTTTGTTCTTATTCCTAGGAAAATCAATATAACTTACATCGTGTAGTAGAGAAACGTTGCCAACTAGCTCAATTGGTTTATTCTGCAGACACTGAAGTAGACCCGTTTCATTACAACCCACAGCTTTAGCGAAGTTTAAGGCCATTTGTCGGGCTACTCCTGATTTCAAAAATACCCATGGTGTCCACCCGTTTCCGCTCTGAGACACACAGCCTTTGATGAGACCTGAAGCAAGAATAACAAATGTCTCGCTTAACCTATATATATATATACATAACAGGATCTTTTGAGTAAACATTCCAAATAAACAAAACTACAGTAATATATTAATGAATTAAGAAAAAATCCTCACTATTTGTTCTCGGAGCTTCGCAAATCAGATTTGATGACGCCCCACCAGCACTCTCGCCTATAACAGTTATCATATTCGGATCCCCTCCAAATGCACTGATTTCCTTTTGGACCCATTCCAAAGCCAATGCTTGATCCTTGAGTCCCATATTCCCTGGTATAACACTGTCATCCAAACTGAGGAATCCTTAAAATCGGTTAAACAAAAGTTTCAATCTCCTGTAATAAAGGAATTAACAATCTGTAAGTATTTTAGTAATTTAATATGTGATACCCATTGTTCCAAGCCGATAGTTAGGGGCAACAAATACCACATCTTCGTCCATGAAATACCTGGCTGACCCGAAATCAGCAGCAGTACCAATCTTGAATCCACCTCCATGTATACTGAAGATAACTGGCAATCTACTGTTCGTCTGAAACAAAATTAACACATTACTATTATTAGAAGAAGAGCTTTATATTTATTTTTTAATGATCTTTTTTATGATTAGTAATGCAATAAAAAAGCTTCGCTCGTGAGCTCATTTGATTAATATTGATATCTTGGCAATGCACCCTACGGCCTGCACCGAACCAAGAACATGGAGGAGAAATAGAGGAATGACACTTCTCAAAAAAACCTGGGTGTAGCATGCTCCAAACGGTGGGTCCACGTTTATGGTGTACTAGATCGAGTAGCAGGCGCTTAGCAAAGGTGGTGAGACCTGGTTGTTATGAGGGAGAACCTGAATTCTATAAATAGATGCTCTCCTTGATCTTCACAATCAGCAATTGTATGGATTGGGAAAATGAAAAGCAGCAATTGGATAACATATTATCCTGGCTAACTACCAGGATCGTCCGTTAAAGAATAATACTGAATCATTTCAAAATACCTATACTTATTAATAAAAAAAAAAGGATATTGAGTAGTTAGTTGTCTATTGCAGATTGCAGACGACCAAGAAATCATTAATGGTCGTGAGGGAAAAAAATAGGGTTAAAATCTACATTCAATCATGACAAAACGTTTACTGATTAAAGAGGCATCGTCAGAACAAACTGTTTCTGAGCATGATGTGAGCCGAAAATACTAAGGGAATACTCCATCAAACTTACTTCTTCCTCTTTTTCTTCCTCCTCAGTGCCTTTCAGCATGGAGGTGCCTCGACAGGCTTACTCCAGACATCGCTGATCTTCGCCAGCATTATCATTGACTTGCTCAACTTCTTGTCTCTTTTGACTTCCAGCTTCTTTTTTTTCATCCATTCATATTTTCCGTGATCGTCCTTTTGGCCTCTCCATCCTCCCAGAGTCTTGCCGTAAGATTTTGTAGGTTCTCATTCCTCGTTCATCCTCATAACATCATCGAACCATTTGATCATTTTCTTATCCACAGTTTATTGCAATAGCGTCATCTTGTTATCTTCTATATCAAACAATATCAAAAAATATAAGGCTAATGATCATTCAGTTATTAATTACATCCCAGAAGTTATTGGTGATTTTGATTGGAGAAGAATGAGTGAAGTTTATAAATCTTGAAACAAAATGTGAATAAAACGTAATTCCAAAAAACAGATTTCAGATTTGATATATCCATGCATCATAATATTATACGTTTTCCTAGAGACGAAAAAGTATAGATTCCTCCTTGAAGTATATTGCATATATAAGGAAGGCTCAACAAGATTTTTCGATATCTTAGCCTTTATTGCGAAAGGAAAAGAGGCTCCGATAGCCGATCCTACAATTCGATTTGAAACTAGCGATGAGGATCAAGATCTCAAATCTATCTAAAAAAATGGCTTCCATACATGCAGGAGAAATATAGATTGGAATTTGGTGAAAGAGAATACTGGGTTCGGGGACTGTGGTTCGGAAGTAGAGGAGCGATTCCACCTTCAACTGCTGTGGCTTTGGAGAAGCCGTTTGTGTAAAGGAGCGAGTTGCAAAGTATGGCGGAATCAATTGTTTTGGACTCGTTGGGAATCCTGCACCATCATATTAATTATGGGGTTATTTATATTAATCATGGGCAGTTCGTTAAGAACTCTACGGACTTGAGAAGGAAGAAAATGAGTATAACACTAAGGATGATAACAATCCATACTTTGAACGACAGTCTTGCAAAACTCTATGCTTTATGTTCTCTTTCGTTAAACATCGCTTATTGGGGCTGATCGGCTTAAGGAGACTGATCGGCCTAAGGGGACTGATCGGTATGCTGGGACTGATTGGCCTAAGGAGACTGATCGGTATGCTGGGACTGATCGGCTTAAGGGGACTGATCGGTATGCTGGGACTGATTGGCCTAAGGAGACTGATCGGTATGCTGGGACTGATCGGCTTAAGGGGACTGATCGGTATGCTGGGACTGATTGGCCTAAGGAGACTGATCGGTATGCTGGGACTGATCGGTTTAAGGGGACTGATCGGTATGCTAGGACTGATCGGCTTGAGGGAACTGATCGGTATGCTGGCTGTTGTATTAACTCAACATCGGTGAGCAGCTCTACATTTGTATGTACTTTTCTCTTCGTAACGAGATATAACCATTAAAGTAATAGTAGAAATATTATAATTGGTTTGTATAACACCACTAAATAAGTAGGAATCGATCGAACAAACCGAGTGGCAATCACGTCTACATTTCCATGTCGGTAATAAAATAAAATTTCTGTTGGCTCACCTTAATATTATTAAAAAATAATATATAAGCTTAAGCATACATTGGGCGTGAAAACATTCAGATAGAGGCAATCTTCTTGTCCCAATGTTCCTGATCCAGAAAATAACGATTTTGCCTGATGACAAGACGGGATGGGTCGAGTTGCGTCCCATATTCCAGTCCAGTTTTCTGCTTTTTCTGAAATCTAAAAAGAAAATTTAAATTACAAGTGTGTTAACAAATAAACTTGTGAACGATAGCGTCAATAAATTCTTATGGCGTCATTAAAAAAATTCTGATGATAACGCTAAATGCAGTACAGTTTTCGACCGGATAAAATTAGAAGTTCTAATTTATTTGAAACATGAGTTAAAATTTACTTAAAAAATATTTAATGGTTTTGCAATTGTTACTGGTCTTGTTCAAGCGATTGGAAAATAAACTTATGATTGTCACCTATCAGCCATTAAATAATCTACTGTTTGTTATCTTAGCAATCTGATAGGTGGCTATCATTCATAATAAAATAAAATAATACTTGACCAAGAGAATTCATGTCACAATAAGTTACCTGTAAAAAGAACAGATAATGCACTATAATTACCATGAACCTCCGCTCTCCGACAGGTGGCTTGCCGTAAGGTATCCTGGTAAAGGAGAAGAAGTCCCTGCCATCCCTAGACTTGAGGATCTGCCCCTTCATGGTACCATAGGAGGTGGTGACCTGGGGGCTCTGTCCTAGGATAAGATGCCCCAAGGCCGTAACACACAGCACGACAGTTATACACGGTGGGCCAGACCCCCTTATCGTGCACCCCCCCCCCCCACATCCCTATAAATTGCATATCATTGTGTTCCTTGTAACAATTTATTTAAAAAAAGCCAATGTTCCCACAAAAAAAAGTGAACGCACTGCCCCAAAATGGCGTCCAAAGATGGCGGATCGACGACTTTGACTTTAGTTAGTTTTTTGGTCACTGAGAATCAGCATTAAGCTTAATTTCCTCATAGTTGGTCTTTTATTAAAGCTGAATAGTTATAGAATAATAAAATGAAGAAATATTAAAAAATAATTGGCTAAGGCTATGAAAAACACCAGTAAAGTCAATTTTTTTAACAAAAAAATTTTCAAGTTACAAATCAAACGTCGTTTGTAATTAAACGGCCTACAATAACGCAAAACGTGCTGAAATAAACCATCTGGAGAATATATTTCTCTTTCTGAAACGCTAATTATTTTTTACAAATGTTTAAGTGGTTCCGTAAAAAATGCACTTATGCGGCAGAAAAGCGGTACTGGCGTGGGTGCCTACAGGCCTCTACCACACCATTCAGTGCCCATAAATGGCTTAGTTATAGTGATATAATAACATTTTTGGTACATTATATTGGTTTTATTAACGAACAAATATTAATGCAATAATTTAATAGTAAAAAAAAAATTAAAATTAAAAAAAAATTTATTATTATTTTTTTAAACTTTAACCTCCTTTATTCTATACGTAGGTTGTTTAAGAATACCTCAATTAAAAAATGGTATAATTATAATAATAAAACTTAATTAAAAAATATTTTGCTAAATATCTTGATTTTTTTTTATTTAACGTTTGCAATTTAACACTGTGTTTTGAATATTTACTGATTCTTAGAAGTAATTAAAATTTTTATATACTTCCCAGGAAATGAGTCATATTCATACCTTTTTTATAAACTAAAATAATATATACCTAATCTGAACTATATATAATGAATAGCTACCGAGTTGTTTAGTAAAACTCATATATCACTAATTAAAAAATTAATTTTTATTTCCTCTATTTTGTGCAGAAGTTGTACTATATCATAAATAAATAGGAAATTTTAATATTGAATGAATTATTCTCTATGCACAAAGAAAGATATAAAGGGTGACCCTATAAATTCTTCTATAAACCAAAACTGATTGTTTGGATTTGATCTCAAAATGAGGAAAAATGTGAACTTAAACGAGAAAATTGGAAAAATACATTAAGCGAACGAGAAAGGAAGTGCCAAAACTTCGGAATAGATAAAAAGGACCAGTTATATCCATTATATAGCTAAATGAATGTATAGTAGATAGATGAACAGAATATTTCAAGATGCCGCTAAAACGGGATCAATTGCAGTATGGATGATATTAAGTTGACGATGTAGGTTTATTATGGTGAAAACCACTTTATTTTCGATTGCTGAAGGTGCACATCGGGACTATATTAACTTTGAAGCAGGATATAGAGAGGTACATCGAGAAAGTTATAGCTCATAGCTTTCCTTCTGTTTAGTGGATTTTCAAAAGATTTTTTAAGGGATCTTATATTAGTTGTAGCTCGTTATTCTTGAATAGTTCGGAATTTGTACCATATCATAAAAAAATAGGAAATTTTAATATTGAATGTATTATTCTCTCTGCACAAAGAAAGATGGAAAGGGCGAAACCGAACTGCTTTGACAGTTTTGCGCGTACATAGGCAACAAGCATATTTGAAAATAATATGAAAGGACTGTGGTTTTTACCTTTACAAGAAAGGAGGTACTAGAAAATGTAATACCCATCAAGACCCGTTCCTGTTTAGTGTACCAAACAAATTATACACAAGAATCGTAGAAGCTGGAATAAGAAATATTGTCGATTGCCAGAGTGATATGGATTGAGAAACTCAAGTTGCACATTGGAAGAGAAGTTGAAAATTGGGACTGTCTTCACTTTAAGGCAGGTTATAGAGAAGTCCACACAAAAAGAAAAATAGCTCTCTATCTGCTCAGTGCCTCACACTTTGGATTATGCTAATATCTAACTGTCTTTCAGAAAAACTCGTTTTCCTTTTAGATACCTTAAAAAATCTTTTGAAAATCCACTAAACAGAAGGAAAGCTATGAGCTATAACTTTCTCGATATACCTCTCTATATCCTGCTTCAAAGTTAATATAGTCCCGATGTGCACCTTCAGCAATCGAAAATAAAGTGGTTTTCACCATAATAAACCTACATCGTCAACTTAATATCATCCATACTGCAATTGATCCCGTTTTAGCAGCATCTTGAAATATTCTGTTCATCTATCTACTATACATTCATTTAGCTATATAATGGATATAACTGGTCCTTTTTATCTATTCCGAAGTTTTGGCACTTCCTTTCTCGTTCGCTTAATGTATTTTTCCAATTTTCTCGTTTAAGTTCACATTTTTTCTCATCTTGAGATCAAATCCAAACAATCAGTTTTGGTTTATAGAAGAACTTATAGGGTCACCCTTTATATCTTTCTTTGTGCATAGAGAATAATTCATTCAATATTAAAATTTCCTATTTATTTATGATATAGTCCAACTTCTGCACAAAATAGAGGAAATAAAAATTAATTTTTTAATTAGTGATATATGAGTTTTACTAAACAACCCGGTAGCTATTCATTATATATAGTTCAGATTAGGTATATATTATTTTAGTTTATAAAAAAGGTATGAATATGACTCATTTCCTGGGAAGTATATAAAAATTTTAATTACTTCTAAGAATCAGTAAATATTCAAAACACAGTGTTAAATTGCAAACGTTAAATAAAAAAAAAATCAAGATATTTAGCAAAATATTTTTTAATTAAGTTTTATTATTATAACTATACCATTTTTATAATTGAGGTATTCTTAAACAACCTACGTATAGAATAAAGGAGGTTAAAATTTAAAAAATAATAATAAATTTTTTTTTTAATTTTAATTTTTTTTTTTACTATTAAATTATTGCATTAATATTTGTTCGTTAATAAAACCAATATAATGTACCAAAAATGTTATTATATCACTATAACTAAGCCATTTATGGGCACTGAATGGTGTGGTAGAGGCCTGTAGGCACCCACGCCAGTACCGCTTTTCTGCCGCATAAGTGCATTTTTTACGGAACCACTTAAACATTTGTAAAAAATAATTAGCGTTTCAGAAAGAGAAATATATTCTCCAGATGGTTTATTTCAGCACGTTTTGCGTTATTGTAGGCCGTTTAATTACAAACGACGTTTGATTTGTAACTTGAAAATTTTTTTGTTAAAAAAATTGACTTTACTGGTGTTTTTCATAGCCTTAGCCAATTATTTTTTAATATTTCTTCATGTTTTATTATTCTATAACTATTCAGCTTTAATAAAAGACCAACTATGAGGAAATTAAGCTTAATGCTGATTCTCAGTGACCAAAAAACTAACTAAAGTCAAAGTCGTCAATCCGCCATCTTTGGACGCCATTTTGGGGCAGTGCGTTCACTTTTTTTTGTGGGAACATTGGCTTTTTTTAAATAAATTGTTACAAGGAACACAACGATATGCAATTTATAGGGATGTGGGGGGGGTGCACGGTAAGGGGGTCTGGCCCACAGACTATTAGCATTGTCCCAGAATATTGTGCACTGAATACACAACACTCTTTCACATATATACATTACTTATCTTTTTATCTTTATCTATGACTAATGAATGATGTATTATCCATACTATATTGTGTTCAAGTTTCAAGAATCCTCAGCCGGAGAACAAAATCAGTATAAAAAACACTTGATTGCACTTAACACTTTGATTGTCAACTTGAACTATTTACTATATATTATTTACACTAAAGATTGAATAAACATAAATTAGAGTTTAGGTTGAGTAATGTGGCAACTTTTTAAGTGAAAATAAACTCTAATGAGTGATCGGAATGAGTTCCACTTGAATGATAACTTGATCACTTGCATAAAAAATTGTAATTTGCTGATGAGTTTATTTATTATTCAAATTCGATTAAAGTTTAAATCAATTCAATCAATTTCTGAACTAAATGAATCTGTATGCCAATGAAATTGGAAATACTGGTATTCCTGGATATATGTCTCTAAATCCGATAATAATTATTAGGTGATCTTATTCGAAGAGAGGATGTTGCTTCCGAAGCGGAAGTAGACGGTTCCACAAATTAACCAAATCAGAACTTTGTAAATTAAGAGAAAAAAAGGTTCTATTCGATATTGATTATTGAAAGACGAAGCTCTGCGGGACTATGTGAGTCAGACTCAACCAAATATTTTCCAGATTTGGCGAATCTATCATGAAGTTGTCAAATCTACCATGAATCGTGGGCTGTATGATGAGGGGAATGAGTTGCGAAGACATCAAGTAGAAAAATCTAGAAATTAAAAAAAAAAATCTAAATGACGATCGTTTCATTGCAATACTTGCAAGTTGCAAAGAAAGTGGGCGGGGTGGCCGAATGGGCTAAAGCGTGTGCACAGCACCGTCGTTGCCCGGACCCATGAACCGGACAACCTGACACATGAATCTAATCATATAAAAATAGTCACGAGTTCGCATCCCGGTGCCGAGGGAGTCTTTTAAATCCCCGCCTCACTCCCAGGCCCGGCAAAACCCCGTAACGGCGAGGAAGGGGAGGACCCAAAAAAAAAGTTGCAAAGAAATTTGGGGCGGGGTGGCCGAATGGGCTAAAGCGTGTGCACAGCACCGCTAGTTGCCTGGCAACCGGATTACAGAGATTTGAGATGATTTAAAAAGTACGAGTTCGCGTCCCGGTGCCGGAGGGGATTTTAAATTCCCCGTCCTCACCCCCCGGCCCGGGAAAATCCCGTATAGCCTAATAGGCGAGGTAGGGAAGAACAAACAAAAAAAAAAAAAAAGTTGCAAAGAAATGTGTACTTATTAGAGAAATTCTAAAAACAAGAGACAATCTTTAGACTTATTCGTCTGTTATGACAATAGCTAAACAGGGATAAATTGTCATAAAGATCAATTTATCTTTATTTAGGAATTATGAATTCATTTCAGAAGGTCGAACCGTTGATTCAGAACTTTATAGTGATTTGTTAGATTGTCCCTTCGTTGCTAAGTGATTAGTAATCAGAAATCTGGAGAATTCCCTTTCGTTCGTTACACCAAACTAAAAATTTCTAAACTGGATAAGATCTAAAATTTATGTAATAGATAATTAAACTGTAATAGACCATGGAAAAAATTCAAACACCTCCAAAAAATATATACTTTTCATGATACGTAGAATTCGAAAATTTAATAAAAAAAAAAAAGTTTGTCCATCCTTGATTTCTTCATGAATAGTGAGTGAGGGGGAGGAGGGGTTGTGTTTCTAGATTTGGTATCAAAGTTAGAGATCGACTGAGGTTGATCCTCCCAACTTGACATTGACCCAACAACTTGACATCCGCCCATTGGTTTCAAAATGGCGACTCAAAAAAACCTCTGTCTCTATAGACTGTAGCGCCAAAATGGCTGTAATGATTTTAATGAAACTTGCCTTAATTCTTCTTCTTAAAGCTCTTTAAATTTATAAGTTTGTTTGTTTTTTTATTTCAGCTTTAGGCGTAAAACCCTAGGGTCATCAACGCCCGTGAGTCGCTTATATTTGTAGACTCTTTAGAGGAGAAATAAAAAAAAAAAAGAATGAATAATCAAAAATTAATAATAGATAGATAGAGTAATAAATAAAAAAGATATTTTAAAGCATATAAAAAAAAATGAAATATATTAAAATGAACACAAAAAAAGAAATAAAATAAAAATTATATTTTATTTAATAGCCTACAGATTTTAAGAAATTTTATCACTGTTTTTATGTTTGATTCGTCGCTGCTTAATACTTCTGATGTATCCGGTTTTAGAGATAATCGATTTAGTCTTGAAGTATAATAAATGCATGGAAAACATGATTGACTGTGAGAAGGCTATTGCAGTGTTGACAATTTGGTGGTGGCTGCTTAGTGATGAGATGTACATGGGTTAGGTTCGTGTGTCTTATTCTTAACCTGGTCACGGCGAACTGCTCTCTACGAAAATGTATAATTAAAACACAATTCTCCAAAAAGAAGCTGGAATAAAATTTACGATAAATGCAGAATTATATTTGCAAATTACTCCGCATGAAGAAAGTTTTTGGTGGTTTTTGTGTGTGTCTGAAGGATAATTCAAATACCCAGTAACAAAAAAAAAAAAAAAAAAAAAAAAAATATTGCAATCGAACCACTTTGCGCAGAGATATGTCGTTTAATGATAAGGAATACATATGAGGAGTAACCAGTAAATTTTTAAAAAAATGTTATAAATGTGATAAACAGAAATAAAATAAAAAATACTCATAAATAGTTTTATTAAATATGCTCTAAGCTAATTTTCCATTAAAAAGACTTAAGATTAACTTATATTAGTTTATGTACATATTTTTTCAATTACAATTAATATTACAAGCTTTACTATCGTCATTCTTAAACAAACAGTCCTTTCATTGTAGCGAAGATGGAAAAAGCTGCAATAAAAAATAACGATGACTGAATCTTCGGCGAGCTGGAAGGCTCATCCGGAAAAATACTTTTCCAGAAATCGAGTATCTCATGATATTGGGTAAAATTCCCTACAGTGATTCCTGAGTCTTGTATATCCAAAAAGTATTGTCCTTGGAACTGAGACCACTGCACCATCCCAGGGCTGCTTGGGTTTCTGGAAAATATGAGAATAGCTATAATGCATCTGTTTAATTAGTTAATGGTGTAATTAATTTTTTAAAACCAAACTGAACAAACGTAATAAAATGTACTTTAAGTAAAATAAAAATCTTAGACACAAGCATACCTATATACACTATTTACAATCAACTAGGGAAACTCCGAACCGATTTTTAATTTATTAAATTAAGTACAGAATTATTCAGGAAACGTTACAGTATATGGAGAGAGATGTGGAAGTCCTAATGAGTTTTATGAGACCTCAAAAAATACTGTATTCTACAATAGAATATAGAAAATCTGTCTGAAGAAAGAATTTCCAATGTTCCTATCGAGTAGAGGCAGATTAAGTGAATAAATAAATAATTTATTAAATTATTTACTACAACGTTTCCTGTGTTCTCAACTGCTCTTGAATAATTATTATTTATAAATTTAGGAGATATTGCTCGGAGTGAAAAAAAGCTGGGTTCTATTATGAAAAATATAATAAAAATTTGGGGTTGAAATCAGTTATTTTGTAGTACAAACGAGTTCAACATTAAATGCTTGAAAAAGAAAAACTTCATCAATAAGAGGTTAAAGGTAAAAGATTTTCAAAAGTTTTAAATAAAAGTTGTAGGTTAAAAAAAGGTTTTACTTTTTTGATTTACATATAAGTGTCATAAAAAAAGTTTTAGTTAAACTTTTTCTTATACCCTCTAAAATGAAAGTTATAAGTATAAGAAAGTATAAATAATTACAAATAATAATAAAAGTGAAAAATATGTCGATGTTAACTTTGTAGAACATTATAGAATTCAAAGTTTTATTTGTTAATCAGAATTGTTTTATTAAAATTAATTAACGCTTTAATGTTTTTGAATTAACGTAATATCTGATAAATAAATCTTGTTTACATTGCATACAATATATATCCTGTAAAGCTTATAAATATTTGCTATGTTAAATGCATCAAAAATTTATTATAATGTTCTATATAAATATGCTTATATACTGAACACATACGTACTCTCTACTCTCGTTTTCATCTCAAACTACACGGACACACAAACAGACTTATAAATGACATGGCTACGACTGACATGCCCATCAGGAGGAGACTTAAAAAGAGCTGGATGAGAGATCTCCTCGCCTAAATCAAAGTAATGACCAGGAAGAGGTACTACTGGGTACTATCCTTCCTCATGTCTATAATGCCAACAACACATCTGCTGATTTTCAATACGATGACAGGTGCAGATAAACAGTTAAAGATAAAAAAAAATATATAGTAGTTAACTGTTTCATTCTACCCTTGAAATATATATATTTATCTATATATATATATATATATATAATACCATTTTGCTACCTTGACAAGCGATATTAAAGCTGTTTGTCATCAACAAATATGATATTTTATGCTCTTATTGCAATAAAAAAAAATTGATAGGTACATACATTGAAGAAATTTTGTCACTTAAATCAAACAAATTATTTATCTTTTTTTTTATCTCTTTAAACATGTTACACATATATCATGTAACACATATATCCTTATATCAATTTATACAAATCAATCCTGAAAATTTAAAAAAAATTAAATACTCACTGATTCCTGGCGAAGTTCGCCCACATCTTAACCAACGTCCTAGATAATTCTACATCTTGAGCTGTAGGCCAACCTTTTGAAGGATTTGGTACCACGGGACCAAAGAAGGGTCCTTCTGCGCCATGTTCAACTCCTGAAGCAGAATCACGTAAAGAGAATATTTAATTGATAAATATTTGCATTTTTTTTTAAAGCAATACATTAGTCTTTGCGACTCTTTAAAGCGAATAAAGTCGCTTTGACTGAATTAAAAAATTCTTATATTAATATAACATTATCAATAGACTCCTTGTAATTGTTATTTTTTAATGTATCAGTTATTTTCGATATTATTGAATGTACCTATTATTACTTTCCAACTTATACTAGGTAAAGAAAGTACTGCAGTCGGGTCAAATTTCTGATATGCGGTTTTCGACGGATCTATACATTTCAGAGCTCCCTGTTTTTTGAAAGGTAGTGCAATTTCATACAAAACTATATAAACATCGTTCGTTTTGGACAACTAATAACGAAGTTACAGCTATTCAATTTCCAATGGTTAATTGAGTCCAAGATTATGGGTTTGTATCCTGGTGTCAGAAAGGGGTGACTGAGAGAATAAAGATGACTAAGTGAAAGTAAGGTAATCTGTTGCCCGCATCACACAAGCTTCACTATTTCCTCTACTTTTATCAGAAATTATTGTTTGACAGTACTAAGCTATCGCAACTAGTTTTAGATCAGCAATATTAAAGAGTATTGAAATTTTTACACTGATCTACCTTAAGCCGGTTTACATTGTTTTAATTTATCAAATATCAATTTAATTTAATTTAATTTATCTTTCCTTGATCAATTTTCAGGAAAATAAATCTAGTTCAATTTGTTTTTTGTCTCTTCATGAATTTATGCAAAGATATAAAAACTTTTCTGAAATAGGTAGGAAATTCGTGTGAGTGTGGTGTTTTTTTATTTTGAATGCAGAGTGAATTTGATTGAGCCATCAGATTTCCGATGCGAAGCGCTCGGCTAAAGTCGGCTGGAGTCGTCTTATTAAAGTGTTTTTGCATTTCGATTAAATTATCTCACAAAAAAATATTCAAAATTGTATCTTAACGCGACTTAACGTCGAATGCCAAATTATTACGAGTTTTATTGAAGGTGTGGATACAAATATCTCAGAAACTAAAAGTCGGACATGGATACTGTAAGTGAGTGAATTTTTGAATCCTCTCTGTGATGGGCGACTATTCAAAATTGGACCTAAACGCGACATTGTATTAGAGAGGCGAAAAGGAAAAAATAGGAGGAAGCGAGGAAAATGTCCAACATTTCATCCTCTGTATAATGAGCTATTACTTATAATTTATATTTCATATAATTAATCTCGCCTCTTTGATGTTTTCACTATCGTTTGGTCTAAGCTACACACATTTTTTTTTTTTTTTTTTTGGCTTTTAAATCCTGGTCTTATCAACTGAATTTACTCTTCAATTGATCCTTTAATTTTAATTACTAACTACATTTCCAACTGTATCATTTACCTGGATGATCCGGTGGTTTGCCATAGGGTATAGCAGGTCCTTTGGTGTAATTGAACTTGTAAAAATAAGTTGGTCCTGGGTGTCTATTTAAGGACTTCATAGCCGGTAAAAACCATAAGTATTCCGTTATGAACTGAAAGATATAAATAAATAATATATTTTTTAACTTATTTGTTGAGAAATATTACAATCAGTCTCAAATAAGAACACTTATAAAAGATAAATAAATAATAACGAATAAAATACTTGAAGAATTGAAAAGCTTGAAGTTAATGATATTGTCTTAATTTATATAACTTGATTTTTCAACTCTTTTCTATGTGTACTATATGTTTCGATAGATTTCATTACATCTTATTTTTTCTATTCAGTTATATTATTTTCCTTATGTGAGTTAATTTTCTCTTCTTTGTATTTTTTTTTTCTTAATGATATTTACAACTGTATTAAAGAAATACATTTAGTAAATTTGAACATATGGATATAATGACGTGAAAACACTTGTTGAGAAACTACCCAATGATAGCACTAGTGATATATCTACATTGGGAGATCACAGGGTCATCTTCTTTTCAGACACCTAGAAGGGTTATCAGGAATTGAAGAGGAAACAAGGCTAGAAACGAGAGGGTTGGGATGATTCTGAAGTTTATTATGGAAGGATAGGTATCTGGATATGACCAGATCTGAAACATAAGAAGCATTGAGGTCATTATGGATGGTTTTCTTTGTAACAAAGTAGGGAGAATTGAGGATTTTACGAAAGATTTTGGATTGTAAGGATTGGATACGAGAGGAATTCGATGGTTTAGTGGAGTCCGGGGACGGGGTGGCCGAATAGGCTAAAGCGTGTGCACAGCACCGCTAGTTGCCTGGCAACCGGATAACAGAGATTTGAGATGATAAAAAAAAAAAAAAAAAAAAAAAAAAAAGGTTTAGTGGAGTCCCATAGCTCATCTCCGTATGTCCAAATAGGCCTTATTATAGTCATTCATATGAGTCTTTTGTAATTTATTGGATGTTTAGAGCATTTGTCTATTAAGTGCTGAATTAATCGGAAACTTCGAGTGGTTTCTTGTCGTTTCAGTCGGGTATGAGGATTTCAAGTTAGGCGTTTGTCCAGGTGGAGTCCTATGTAACGGATTTGCTCAACAGGGAGAAGTGGAGTATTGTTATAGGAAACTGTAGGACAGGAAGTCATAGGTTCACAACGAAGAATATTTCATTATTATTATTCTATGTTTATCTCACTTCCTCTTGATATTCATTAAGACTTCAACTTACAACAACTATATCATCCTATTTTTTTTACCAAATATGATCTTGTCATTGCTTTGTTAAATTCATTCTTTTTTTCGGATTTGTTATGACGCTATTATCGGATTTTATCTTTGTCTTATCTTATTGTATATATTTATGGAATTGCTTTGTGTATTTGTGTGCGATTTAGTCTTGTATTTCTTGCATTCGAATACTTTTTTCTTTTTCCCGAAAATGTATGTGTTACGTAATGGTACTTGTTTGATGTTCTATATTAGTGATATTGTATATGATCAGTGTTATGAAAAGGGAGAGAAAGAAAAAAAAATGATAATATATTTATAAAATCATGGAATAACATGATGTCAGAGCTATGTCCAAATGGATTGATCAGTATGCTGTGTATAAAGCAACCCTATGCACTCGGGCAGCATTACTTTCAATAAAGTATTTCTGTCGCTTACTTCATTACTCCATTTTCTATATTTTATAACTTCCTAAGTTTGTTGCGTTATTTTATAAATTCCTAACCTTGTTACCATTATTTTATATATATCATCCGTACCTAATTTAATTATATAAATCAAACCGGTATTCTATATTTCATTTTTAATTGCTTTTTTAATTTCAATAATTTGTTACAGTTATTTTATTTATATATATATATATATGTTTTATTATATATATATATATATATATATTATATATATATATATATATATATATATATATATATATATATCATTTCTCATTGTTTATATTTTATGTTATCTTCTCTTTGCTTAGTCCAAACGAATGCCTGAAATGTTGGCACAAAGAGAATAAAAATAAATATATTACCAGGTCCATCAATTGCATTCAAAATGCTTCAATCACACATCATAAACCTTGACTTGAAGAATGGTGTCAAAACTGGAGAATTAAAATAAAGTCCAATAAATCCCACCAAATTATCTTTACTCTTCGTTGTAAACCTATGACTTCCTGTCCTACAGTTTCCTTTAACAATACTCCACTTATTCCTGTTGAGCAAATCCGCTACCTAGGACTCCACCTGAACAAACGTCTGACTTGGAATCCTATACCAGACTGAAACAATAAGAAACCGCTAGACGTTTCCAATTACTTCAGCACTTACTAGACAAACGCTCTAAATTTCCAATTATTTACAAAAGACTCATATACATGACTATAATAAGGCCTATTTGGACTTACGGAGTTGAGCTATAGGGCTCCACTAAACCATCGAATTCCTCTTGTATCCAATCCTTACAATCCAAAATCCTTCGTAAAATCCTCAATGCTCTCTACTTTGTTACTAATAATATCATCCATAATGACCGTAATATTTCTTATGTTTTAGATCTGGCCCAATCCAGATACCTATCCTTCCATAGTAAACTTCAGAATCATCCCAACCCTCCCTTTTCTTACCTTGCTTCCTCTTCAATTCCTAATAACACTCCGAAGCGTCTGAAAAGAAGATGGCCCCGTGATCTCCTAATGTAGACTTATCAGGGTGCTACCATTGGGTTGCTTCTCAACAAGTGTTTTCATGTCATGATATCCATATGTTTAAATTTACTAGATGTATTTCTTTAATACTAAAGAATATCATTAAGAAATAAAAAAAATATTTTGACTGAATACCCCAACCAACTAGTTTTCAGTTATTTACTACTGCCATCTAATTCAGTATCTTTAATGATATTCCATTCTCACCTATCCCCCAAGACTGAATGTTCACTCCTCAAAAGAAATTTCATTGCACTCCTTTTCTTAAATCTATTTAAAGTGGAATTTGGATTATAAAAAAAAATATTTAAATTACACTTCCTGTGATCTGTTTAAATTTTTTTTTCCTTGTTGTCTGAGTTGAATGTTCTTTCAAATATAAAATCTAGGAAACAAATTTGATTCCCCAAAAATTCAGAACACCATGATAGTGAGCCCTCCTTTAAAATTTGTATTACAAAATATGCTAATTCCTTCTGACTTGTCAAATAAATTCTATAATAAATGTGAATTATAGCTTATCGATATGTGGTCTGTATGTTATTGCTTAAAAATAAAATAATACTTACGTTACGTATCGCTAACAAAGGGTCAAGACCTTTGTTAAAAAACCTCTCCCATATTTTCAGAAAGTCACTTTTCCTATTTTCCAGATGGAGTTCTGAGATAATGGTTTGATTGAAATTGTCAATGTACTTTTGTGTTTCTGTCGCGTTTTTCATGTGAAACTCGTAAACTGAAAAGATAATAAACAAAAATTAAATAAAAAAGAAATTGAAATCATAAACTTAGAAATAAAGTTCTGGTTCAACATAAAAAGTAATTGTGGTAAGAAATAGTGAGTGCGAATCCATAATAACCAATCCACACAAGCGTGTTCGTTTCACTGAAGTTTGTGAAAATAGTGGCGTTTTCAATTAGTTATTAATTATTTACTAAAAACTTTATGAACATCCATTTGCTTGATACTTGAATCTTAAGATAATATGATCTCAAAATCGAGAAAAAAGTGGTCTACAAAATTATTTGGCCGTTTGGCATGCCCTCTACACCCAACATGTCAAAATAAAGAGGTTATAATTTAATATTATATTTAAAATGACAATATTATTTTGGGTCTGTTGTCCCTTTAAGTATAAATTATCAGTATAGGATAAATGCCAGTGTGGCAATGCATAAATTAAGTATTTAAAAAATAATAGTTAATCAAAAATAAAAATACACGTAGAAAGAGAAAGAGGGAGAGAGAGAAAGTAGATATATATATATATAAGGGGTTGGGGTAGCCTTGCGGGCTAAGGCGCTTGCAATAGGTAATCAAAGTTAAGCAACGCCGAGCGTGACTAGCACTTGGATGAGTGACCGTCCAAAAAGGAAAGCCACGCTGCCCGAGATTTCTCCCCTCCACCCTGGGTATGTGAGGCCCGTCATCCTACTGGAGGCAACTCACACCGACCGGGCGTAGGATTGATGACCCTACCCCGTACTTTAAATCAGGAATCGGGATGTGTTCTAGGAGACCACACTTGCAGTCAAAGATATTCATGGTCTGCAGTGAAAAATATAGGAGGGTCGCTGAGTTCCGATGGTCTTGTATAGAATATAGGAAGGATATATAGGCCAAACGGCTCAATATTTTTTAGGCTACCTTTTATTTCGATGTTTTGTGGAAACAAATGAGTATTTATGAGTTTTTATTCCGTCATTAAATTAATTAATGTCCCATTTCCGATAGTTTTCTTAGATAAAAAAAAAAATAAAAAGCAGGCTACTAAAAGACAAAGTCATTCACGATGTTAATAATTAGGCGGAAGTTAATGATTTGAATGAGAGGGTTCTAGAACACGGAATACATTTCTCAAAGGTATCCCGTATTTTCGTCAATTCTTCATCAAATCCAATTAAATTAAATTGTAAACTCACGGACAGTGTAGATCATTCCTTCATCCTGGACGACTCCGAGGATCCGAGGGTAGTTGTGGTTTGCCTTCGTGGGCCAGCTGGTGAGTATTGCGCCTGGAGTATTCGCATTCTCCAGAACGGGAGCCACAAGGGTCATAGCTAGGGGGTTCTAAAATATCAAAATTATATAAGATTAATTAATTAATAATTTTCTTACAACTTCATTGATAAATCACGTATGTGAATAATATTATATCCCAAGAATGAGAGGAATAATAAATTATGGCATCATCTAACACATTTGTACATACTAGTGCGGCTACAAAGAAGACAGACTGATTCTTTGAAACATTTTATTTTAATTTCATACAAATTTACTTATTATCATCTTAAATTTACACCACTCCTGTGTCTCTACAACCCTCCATGCGAATTTTCCTCGAATATGTTGGAAGTTTCTTCAGGAAGAGTGTCTCTTTCTCTTTCTGCAAGGATGTGAATGTAATAAGTTTAATTAATAACATCAGATCGTCAAGCACGGTCCATCTTAGGAGTAAGAAACAGGAGTTCAGTGGTAACGAACCGAGGAGACTGGGGGTTAATGTTACGGAAGGACTTGACGGACTTGACTCACCACTGAGTTTACAGGAATCCAATACAGGTACAAAATCTCATCAATATAGAAAAAAATGCATTCATTATTGTTTTAAATATCTTGTAGTGCATAGGTTGGCACTTCACTTCAGAAACACCAGTAAAAAAAAACACGGTTCGTTAATCTAGCTTAAAATGAAAAAGATTTCAATGATTTACTTATTTATTTATTTTTTGGTTTTCTTTTTCTTTTTTCTTTCTCCACATCCCTTTATGTATATTATTTCATATTATATCCTTTTTACTTTTCTTTCAATCTCCCCTGTAGATCTGTAGAAATATATTCACAATTTCATATATTATATATTACACTACAACAATTGCTACTATCTATTTACTTCAGTTTAGGATCTTGTTACTTAGCTTACCGTTTTAGTCCTGACGGAGAACTGCAAAGTCGGGTCGAAACGTCGACTTTTAATAGAATAGTTTGTCCACTATTTAGCCTATTTACGACCGCAACCCAGGACCATCTCCTTCCTTCATAATGCAACGGTCAACTATTAAATATTCGAAAAAGATTTCAGTCTGTTGAAGCTCTGAAAGAGAATACGGCATTCATTCCGAAAGAGAAGAAGATGCAGCGTTGTACGGATGGATGATGGGTATATATACCGAAGGTGATAAATAAAGTATATTATATATAATATACTATATAATATATAATATGAGTAAACCTATGGACCCATTCCAAAGCCAATACTTGGTCTTTAAGAGCCATATTTCCTGGTATAACATTGTCTTCCAAACTGAGGAATCCTTAAAATCTTTTTGTAAAGAATTTTTGTTGATGATTTAACTTTGCGATGAAAGTATACACTTTAATAATTTAATTATGTCTTACCCACAGTTTCTATACGATAGTTAGGTGTAACGTAGACTAAATTTTCGTCCACGAAAGCCTTTTCAAAGAGTTTTCAAAGCTGAAAGAGATTTCAAATATTTCAGCAACAGAGCCTACTTTGAAAGCACCTCCATGTATGTATGTGATAAATAAAATATATTATATATAATATAATATATGATATATATAATTGGTAAATGGTTGACTGTCGTGGATAATGAAGAGAAGAATAGTTGGGGTGGTCAGTCAAAAAGAAGGCAAAAATAAATGATAATATTTATTTTTGCCTTCACAAATTTCCTTTCACATACTGACCACCCCAACTATTCTTCTCTTCATTATATGAAATGTTTCACAGCATCGGTCTCTTGATTCAATAGCCCCATCCGGTATTTATAGCACATACACTGAGAGTCAAAAGTATTGGGAATATACGGGTTATTTTTATATTTAATTTATTCGCTCAAAATAATGAAATAATTATTTAATATGATAAAATATTTTATCCAGTCTTTGACCTCTTGCTCACTTACGTTATTTAGCAATGTAATGTCCCCAATAACTTCAATTGGCTTACTCTGGAGACATCGAAGTAGATCTCCCGTTTCGTTGCAACCTACTTTTTTAGCCATTTTCAAAGCCATTGTTCGAGATACTCCAGGATCCGAAATTGCCCAGCTTGCCCATCCATCCCCGCTTTGGGAGATACAGCCCTTTATAAGACCTAAAATAGAATAGAAAATAATTTTATTCTCGGACGAAGTCCCTTTAGGATAACAAAAAAGTACAAAATTAAAGTATTATATCTGGCCTAAGTAAAAACAAACACAAAAAGTAAAAATAATGAAAACAAAAAGTAAAGAAAATATTAGTTAAACATACCGTGTACAAAATAAAAAAAATCTATATACAAAACACTAGAAACCATGCCAAGATACTTAAAACTATGTACACTGGTAAAATATAAGTACACAATTTAAAAAAAAAAAAATACATTACATTCTTCTTAGCAATAAACTCTGTGTTTCTGCATAAAATGATGAATTATATGTAACTATATCATTATGTGAATTATTTTGAATGATATGTAAATTTACATAGAAGGTTAGCGGGGGTGTCACTGTTTTTGGGATGGAAATTGGAATAGGAGGTTTTTAAATGTAGATAGGGAGGGAAAATGCCGAATTTTGATAGGAAGGTAATTCCAGAAATTAACAGAGCGGGCAATAAACGAGTTTTGGAACTAGGCAGATCTGTGAGAAGGAATGCAAAGGTCGGAAGGTCGAGATCTTGTAAAAAGGGAGTGGACTGAGGACTTGAATTGGAGAAGGTTGTAGGCGTAAGAAGGGTGATGATTGTTGATGATTTGATAGAGGAACGTATTTAGGAAATATTCTCTTCGAATGGAGGGGAAGAGCCACTTTAATTCAGTTTAGTGGTGAGACACTAGGGAGTATCTCGGGGCACCAATTACAAATCTTTCGCAGCTGTTCATAAGAATAATGTTTGTTTTGTTATTTTCACATATGAAAATCGACTTGAGGATTATAGATTACAAAATATTCAAACCAATCACTCAAATAAAAAAAAACTCTTACCATTCGTTCTAGGAAGTTCACAAATAAGGTGCGAACATACCGCTCCAGCACTCCCACCTACAACGGTTATCAGATTCGGGTCCCCCCCAAATGCACTGATTTCTTGATGTACCCATTCCAAAGCCAATGCTTGGTCTTTAAGAGCCATATTTCCTGGTATAACATTGTCTTCCAAACTGAGGAATCCTTAAAATCATTTAAAAAAGTGAGTGAATTTTTGTTTATGATTTAACTTTGCGATAAGAGTATATACTTTAATAATTTAATTATGTCTTACCCACAGTTCCTATACGATAGTTAGGTGTGACGTAGACTACATTTTCGTCCACGAAAGCCTTGGAGGTTTCAAATAATTCAGCAGCAGAACCTACTTTGAAAGCACCTCCATGTATGTTGAAGATAACTGGTAATCTTCCGGAAACCTGATAAAAAAAGAATCACGTTAAGATAAATACTAGAATAAGACCTATTACTTTTCAAATGAAGTCGTTTAAGAATATTATTCGTATCACTAACGGTATCAGAAAAATATGACTCCTTTACCTCGACCGTAACAGAAACTTTTTTCAAATAACATCCATCCAAGATATTTTGATTATATTTTAACAATGTTATTGGGTTAGTAAATTTGATTAATACATGACTGTTTCAATACTCTACTTGATCTCAGCACTGAGTTTAGGAAGTTATCTATATTAGCTCTGTTATTCCATCTCGATTCTCGCATTTTCACCTGAACCTAATTCACTATCCTAACCCCTTAGCAATCCTTACCCAGCTCCAGTCACCCCTACAACCTTCCTCGAAGGTTGCAACGGCAGTGGCCTCGAGACCTTTGGTAAAGGCTGTCACTGGAGTTCTGGCAATGGTCAGCCTCTCCACTCAAGTCATGAGCGTCTGTTGCTTCAGTGCCCTCTCTCAGTTTCCACTGGACTTCAACGCTAGTGATGCGGCTGAGAGAGAAGCGCTGGGATCTCTTAGAGTCTCGCTTTGTCCTTCACACGTGGAGGAAAGGACTGGATTCGGAGCTCCCTTGGCTGATTGTAAATATTGTAATTAAGTATGAATGTTTTTCTTTTTTTATATATTTATTTGTTTTACTTATGACTTATTTAATTTGCTAAGAATTTCTGTATGTTTTTTTAAAATTTGATTTCAAGTTACATTTCTTTGGTTTTATAGTTTTTGAATTTGTTATATATATTTTTTTGTTTTTATTGTATTTGTATACGTGGTATGAATTGGCCTCATTCAGCTTTAGTACTCAGTGCCCTTAAGTGTGGCAAAATGTATTATTTCTCAAGAAAAGATTTTTAAAAATCCATATTAGCTAAATTCAACAAAAAAATCGCTACCTGGATTAATTAAATAAAATCCGGAGTTTATGAGAAAAACTAAATGTGTAATAAATATAATAAATTCGAAAGAAAGCGTATCCGTTTTAATGATGGATTTATATTAACAAACATTTTTACGAACACAATATGTCTTAAACTATATGGGAAAGTTAAAATTCTTTTGTGTAAAAGATTTTTTTAAAGTTTTTGTAGTTCCTATGGGATAAGCAGAGTTGTTATCGATTTCGAGAACGGTTTTTGATATCGATATTAGTTTAATATCGTTATCACTAATTTCGAATGATATCGAAAATATCTTCGGTTTATAGCAATAACTAATCAAGTGGCTTTTCATAAACTTAAATCAATCGCAACATTAATATATTTCCTTTTGTAAAATCAGAAAATAGTGCACTTGATGTAACTATTACTGTATTTTTTAATGATCAATAAAACCAAAATTCACAAAACTATTCTTAAGATTTCAGCTAAATCAAAAATACTTTATGCAATCAGTCGACTATAAAATATATATATTTTTAAATAAGCATAAAAAAATAGCTGAATTCTATACGAAAATTAACTTATATTTCTGTTGACTAATTAGAGATTGAACAAAATTATTTTTAGCTTTAATCAGAGCTGTATATATATATATATATATATATATATATATATATATATATATATATATATATATATATATATATATATATATATATTGTTGACTTTTAAAATTATGAGGATGGCAAATAATTAGGATTTACTTTAAAATTAACATCCGGAAACCCAATAAATCATATGAAGGCTGAAAATCCTGATTATATGTCATTATCGAAACTAAGGATTTTTCATAAACTCGATCATAATTTATATACTTCTTTTAAGAAGTATATAAATTACAGATACATGGTCTGTAATACCATGATATGAAGGCACGGAAGTCAAGATGGGCGGGGTATATAGCTATATAGCAATCCATCCGGGCTATATAGCAATCCATTTGGAAGCCTCTATGAATATCTCAATAGAAGTCCAAAAAGCAGATAGATACATAGGATCAACAATGATGCAACAGAGCTGCGTGCAGATAAATGGAATAATAGCCCAAGAAAGGCAGAGAGATGGAACAGGCTTGTTAAAGCTGCAAAAGATCAACATCGTCTGTAATGCCAACAGAAGAAAAACAAAAAACTTCTTTTAGTAATGCGTAGTGAATGCCTTCATTATATATGTTAATCATCTAATTCATTCGCGATGATAATCCAGATATATAAAATCTTCCTGAATGAAAGTTCTGATGCAAAAAGAACTCTAATTCACTAGATTAAAAACAAGTTTTACAGACTTACCAGGAATAAATAAATAAGGAACAAATAAATTAGTATCACCTAAACCTACATTTGGCGTGAAGACATTCAGATAGAGGCAGTCTTCTTGTCCCGAAGGTCCAGGGCCAAATGGGGGAGAAATAATCTGGAAACATTTGGGGATGGGTTGAGTGGCGTCCAATATCCCTGTCCAGTTATCTGCTTTCTCTGAGATCTAAAAAGGAAATAAATATTTAAAATAATGAGTAATTTAATCTATAATTTTGTAAAAGACAAACTTACAAAAAAAAATGAATATACTTAGTTAATTCTTTGGCATATTATATGCTGAAGAGAGGGACAGAGATTCCTTGAAACGTACATTAATAAATAATAATCAACAAACTAATTGTGATTATTTCGTTGAATCGTCAAATATAAACTATCATAAATCAACATAATAATACAATAAAATAAAAATAAGCCAATAACACCATCACTATACAGAAAAGTAGGAAATCAAAAATAATTAATTAATTTTACTTATTATTCGAAGCGAAAACTTCTTTAGCCGCGTTTTGCATATTTTTTGTGAAGAGTGAATTATATTCGACTAATTGACGTGTTTTTGCATGATATCTCAAAAACGAAAAACAGACCTGCATACCGTAATCGAAAAAATGTTCAGCATTTCATCCTCTTTGTAATGGACTGTTATCCGAAATTGTATATTAACGCAACGCTGTTTGAGAGAGGTGAAAAGGAAAAATAGTGTCGAAAACCAAATGAGTTTTATTGAATTGGATTGAAATATTTCAGGCACTAAAATTGGACCTACATACTGAAAGTGATGGTAATTTTCAACATTTAATTGCTTATATAATGAGCTGAGGAACGTCTCTAATTTAGGTTCAAAATTGACAAGTTCCCATTCCATTTGCTTGTAACTGATTTTACGAGCATGATGAAAGTAGTCATAAACTTATTCGAATTGTAAATCTTTTACATTACTCTTATAGAATGGCTTTCTCTCGGTGGTATTTGATAAATTATACCTGATTCTCCATAATCATACAGCAAATATGACATTGAATTAATCAACATAATTGAGAAAAATGGCACAAGCACACTTACGTCATCGTATAAAAACACCAAAAAGATTTTAAAGTGTATTTAGAGATAATTTATATTTATAAAGAACTCAAATTCAGAAAGAAATATATAATCACTTTTTATTTAAAAACTTTCACTTTGTATCCTCATTTAACTTCAGTAAATTATATTGATGACAAAACCTGATTGAAGGTGATCAGATGGCTAATTAAAATTAGAGATGATGTTTTGAACTTAAATTATAAACACTGTTATTTTACTTATCTTGTATATTACTTTATCTTTTTATTTATTTTATTTTAATTTTTTTAATTTATTTTCTTACTTGGTCATTTTTATTTATTTTATTTTCTCGTGTAAATATTGTGTGAATGAATACTATAGCCCTAGTACCAATGCCCTTCAGTGTGGCAGACTGTATTGGTACTCAATAAAACAATAAAAAACCATAGTTTCGAGAAAAAAAATTATAAACACTTCCAGCAAACAAACAATATTTTTAGCATGTGTAATACAAACGAAACAGAAGATCTCTATCACTTCCTGGCTGCTTGTCCAATACTCTCTGAATTTAGAATTAAATGGTTAAAATCTAGAAATTTATCTCGGGCTCAATTAATAGATTTAACAAATGGATTTAATTGGATAGCATTGGTAAATTCTGCAAGTCTGCTTTCTCCTATAGAATAATGCTAACCGAAAAATTTAACAATTAATAATTTGGAGAATTTTGGTACCACTCTTTTTGTAATTAAAATATTTATATAACTTTTACACCGTAAATATAATTGTTCTTATTTTCACATTAATAAATTGTATATAAATCGATTGAAATATAATTTTGTTATAAAACACAGACTCCTCTGACGGTCAACAGACTATGTAGCACGTCTGATTTTCGGTTTTAAATCCAAAAATATTATTTTGTATTTTCTTGTAATTTATATTATGTAATTTTAATTAATAAGAAGACTTTTTCTTCTTCTTCTACTGAAAGTAAGGGAAATGTTCAGCATTTTATCCACTTTATAATGGGCTATTATTCAGAGAACAAGCTGTTTCAGAGAGGCAAATGATAACGAGTTTTGTTGAAGATATGGATTAATATATTTCAGAAACTAAAAATCGAACCTGCACAATGTAAATGAGGGGAATGTTCCATTTCGGTATTTCATCCTCTTTATTAATAAGTTATTATTTATGATGTATATTTCATATTATCAAATTCACCTTGTTGGTATTTTCACTTCTATCTTGTGGTCTAAACCACACACCTTAGTTTTATCCCTTATGATAGTGTTTTTATTTCTTGTTTTTTGATGTTTTCTATCAGCTGTCGCCACGAAAAAAAAAAAAAAAGGTGGGCTTAGAGCAAATTTTGCTATTAGTTAAGTTAGATCATTCTGTTATATGTCTGTCATAGTTTGTGAAATGTTTAAATGGGTCTTAAAGTTCACCTCACAACACAGGCGGATCTACGGGGGGAGGCTTTCGGGCTGAAGCCCCCCCCCTCAAAATGGTAAAATATAACCACGTTTTACAGACAAAAATATTAAATACGATCTCTTAAAGTATTCTTGTTCGCGTAATTACATTTAATAGGACTTCAAGAACAACTTAAACACCATGTCATGTAGGTATTTAATTTATTTCTTTTTTTTTTTTTAAATTAATTATCATTATGTTTGTATGAAAAAAAAATCTTTCGGGCTGAAGCCCCCGCCAAAATTAGATCTTGGATTCGCTAGTGCCTCACAATAGACGTTGCGTCATTCTGCTTGGACAAGGTTATTATCTTCCTCCTTTTCAACAATGACACAACTAACCTCTAACGCACTGGTTATAAAATCTCGATAATACGTTGTTCCAATCGAATAAACACTTCTTTCTGTGAATTATGACGTCTGAAACGGTTTTTCCAAAATTTTGGAGTTGAAACATTATTCAACCTGATGAGCAATATGTTATAGTTTTAAAGGCAATCAGTTTTTGATCGAGCAGTAATTAAATTATACTCGAACACTTGATTTTACAACACGAAAACATGCCTGAAACAAGAAAAAGAAAATGAATACTCACCATGAACCTCCGTTCTCCGACAGGTGGCTTGGCGTAAGGTATGCTGGTGAAGGAGAAGAAGTCCCTGCCGTCCCTAGACTTGAGGACCTGCCCCTTCATGGTACCATAGGAAGTGGTGACCTGGGGGTTCTCTCCTAGGACGAGGTGCCCCAAGGCCGCAACACACAGCACGGCCGCCAGCATTGTCCCTGAATAGCATTGCGCTGTATTGATCTCATATATATACTCTACCACTTATCTTTTTATCTATAATGGCCACTAACGAGAGACACCTGAATAATGTTACCTAGAATTCTCACTTTAGAATAAAAAAACTAAATGAAAATCGTTTTTTTTTTAATTACTCTATTAATATGAGCGTTTTTAATAATTGAAAGAGTTTGCTTTCTATCTCTTTATTGGTCTTTCATAATGACGGATCATTGATGAGCTTTCGGCTTGAAGCTTTCTTTAAAATAATTTTTTTTTAAACAATTGAATAAGAGACATATTAAAAGAAATACTATCTCAATATGATGTAATATACAATATTCTTCACATATGTAGTCAGAAAATGTACTTATTCCCTCTTCTAAATTTGAGTGGAACACTCATTACGCAATTGCCCAGAGACACTAAGAGTCTAAGGTCGCCGCTGAAACAAAGCACTGAAGATGAAGTGGTAGCATTTAGAGATATGAACGAGAATACGTAATCGCTACAAATTGTAACGCAAACATAGTTACTATCCATAAGAAAAGAATATTTTAAAAATCCCTAAATGAAAACAATAATTCCGTAATTACAATTTTTTTTTTTTATCTTCAAGGACCACTTAAAAAGCAATTTAGTAGAGTTTCTTTATTCCTCTTTCAGAGTAATTACCGTTAAAAATTAAAAAAAATCTCCAAAATTATATACTGAATCTAAGTGTTAGGCTTTCCTTAACACTTAAAGAAATATATATATATATATTTCTGTTATCATTACAGACCATGTTATTATTGATAAGGTTATTGTGGAGCCGAGGTATAAGCGAATGGTTTGAAAAGGTTCTAACTGCAATAACATGTATCTGTACTTGATTTATAGTTATTTTAAAGAGTATTGAACATGAATTTATAATATTAGCTAAGATTTGTTCTTTGTGTATAAAATATTTGAAGCGGTTATTTCCGAAACGACATAGGTGATATTTCCATAACTTTTAGAAAAACTGCGAAAAACTATAGTATACTAAAATTTTAGTAGATAAAATCTAAAAAAAAATAAATAGTGTAAAACAAAAAAATTAACATTATTTGTGTTGGTTTTGTACATAGCTGATGACAGTTTTTTTTTTTTTTTAACTTTATTCTGTTGCTATTCCAGTAAAAAAAAGAAAAGTTTGATTTCTTTATTTTTTATTTAATTATCAAATGAGCAATTATTTAAAAGTATTTTATTATTATTATTACTATGAGGAGCACAATGGACCCATTAGGGGTCGACGTGCCCTGGGCCAACATTTAAAGAAAAAAAGTTTATTATTTAGTTGTATTTAGGTGTCATGTGCAACTAAATAGGTTAGAGGCAATTTTTCCAGTTTCATATTCATTTCAGTTACATATTCAATAGAAAAATGTCTGTAAAAGATTATTTTGTTTCAGGTGAGATTGTGTTATTAAGATATGTCTATGTATAAACTGTTGTTACAACTGCGTAGGTTAGTTCTGATGTGCTTGAAAGTTAAATAAGGGTTGAATTTTCGATTTATTATCATATATTTTGTTTTGTCTTCATTTATTTATAGCCCGATCTTCACTGCCTTTTCTATCAGAGTCTTAGCGAATTTTCCCTATGTCCCCTTGAATACTTCATTACATTAAATATAATAATACATAATGATGATTTTGATGATTAACCATCAAGTTAATGGGTCAGAATGTAAACCACAATGTTCTAGAACCATCTATGAATTCGGGAAAAAACAATCTTAATTACAATTACAGTTTGGTTACTATCTTAAAATATTTATAATACATTATTATTTTCACAGAGCAATAAATAATAATAAAAATAATTATCATTTAGGTTTAAATTGGAAAATAATGTATTTTATTTATTAGTGTATTTTATTTATTAATGCAGTTGTAAATATGAATAAAACTCAAGATGTTGATTAGTGTAGCAATGAATATGTGTAACACCAAAAAATAGTTTTTAAAAAACGTGACAAATATTTAATTTTTGGCAAATGGTGCCACACCAAAGAAAGAATGGTAAATAATTGTAAAATAGATAAATTAGAATGACATTATTAAATAAAAATTAATATAAAATGTGCATAATTTCAGTAAAGATAAAGATTGCTCTGATGATGGGGAAATTATGAATAAATAAAATAATTTAAAAAATATGAAGAAAATTGGAAGTTTTATTGCCTTAAATATGAAAAAAAAAAAGAAAATTGGAAGTTCGATTTCAAAATGATTAAAATCCACCTGCGTAAATATATAAGTGTTTTCACAACGGTATACTTCGATCGAGATTAAAATAAACTGAATGAGTCATAAAAATCATCGGTTTCGCTTTCTAGAAAATTGAACGTTTCGGTTTACATAAAAATCAGTGATAAGATATTTAAACAAAATTAAATTATAGGTATCTTAGATATTAAACCTTTTAGATTTTCCGTGATAATTTATAATTACAAATTCAACAAATCCGAAAATTTTCATTGCTGTTACAAGTGCGAATAAAGTTCATGGAGAGATAAAATAAAAATTAATGAGTGTTTAACACTTATTGTATTTTGGTACATGGCTATCAATGTTCTACCCTAATTTTTTTTCTCTTACTTCATTTAAATTTCAAAGTTATGTGTATATATATTATATTATATTTATATTTAATTATTATTATATTATATAAATATAAATATTATATATTAATATTGTTTATGGCTAAAATATAACTTAGGTTCAGTCTCCAACAAGAAACGAAAGAGAACTGCATGTGGTTATAATAGCTTGTCGTGCACGAATTAAGTAGTTCTCACCAGCACCAGTTTATAATATATTTATATAATATTTTGTTCAAAAATGTCTTTTGTCTTATAATTTTTTATCCTTTAGCGTATATAGGTATGGAGTAATGGTATATATTAAATTGGTCGAAATTTAATCAATTTTTTCCTAGAAACTTTTAAATGAAACTCCAATGTCACCTTGAAATGTTGATGTTCTACAGGCATATTATGGTACTTTTGATAACCAACAATATATATATTTTTTTAATTTAATATAATCGTACACTGTATTAGCATAAAAATAAAAGTTCATGTGATTTATGACTAGTGATGTTGATATAGAGCATGGCAATTTAATCTTCACTGAACAAATTATTTGCGACATTAATGATGAATATATAACGGAGGACTCATCAAGACTTGAAAATGACCCTTAGTGTGGTCGAAACGTGGAATTTAATAGCGTATCAAAAACATGTTTGGTGATAATTGGCCTAATTTATGTAAAAAATAAAACCTCAAGACACCAAAATTAGTATAAATGAACAGAAGAAAGTTCTATATATTAGAAAGTCCCGAGACCCTCTTCTTTTGATAACCAGAGATTGTAGAGGATGCAAGTATAGAAATTAGTGGATTCAGATCGGTCTGAAGTTCATTATGAAAAGATAGATTGTAACCAAGATTAAGATAGCACTGGAAACAAAACAAATTCTAGTCTTTTTTTGTTTCCTGAGGAGATGACTAATTGAATTTTTAGCATGTGCATGTACTCTTACATCTTATTGTATCTTGACTATCTTTGGATGTGGCATGCCATAATATTGTATATAAAATAAGTATCTTTTTTTGTTATTTGAATTATCTTTATTATCTTAAATATCTTTCTTTTTTTTTAACTTTATTGTATATAGTAATTATGTTTGAATTCCCTCTTTTACCTCGTATTTTATTTCTTTTTATTGTACATAGTATTAATTCTGTAAATATTTCTTTTTGTAAATAGATCTGTTAACCTTTTTTGCTGCTTTATAATCAAATATCCAACCTAACCCTTCTCACCTGAGCTAGCATGGTAGAGTCAAAATGTAATGATGGCCATTAAAGGGTAAGTACTTTCTGTTTTCTAATTTATCTCTTTAGAGATGAAAGGCTGTTAAGCCAGGCGCCCAACAAATAAAAATTGCTATGGAAAATTATAATTATTAAAAATTATTTTATTAACTTTTATTTATCCTTTTTTTGGTCATAAGATATAGGATTGGACCGAAAAGACTGCATTTGAAACATAAAGTTCATGATGAACGATTTTATTCTTGACTACGTTGGGAGTTTCGGACGCAGACAGATCTACAGAAGGGTAGGAGGAGCTTCAGCCCGAAAGCTAATGGTAAAATATATGCATGTTTTACGGAAAACATTATCTCTAAAAAGTACTATTGTTCGTTAATTACATTTAATAGGACTTTGAGAATCACTGAAACACCATTTCTTATACCGAATTTTCTGTTGGTTGGGTGTATTCGACGTTTTCAATACATTTCTCTCGCCCAGTTATACAGATTATTATACAGTATATCTCATCTCACAATTGAAAACAAATTATTAATCTACAAGACCGTACAGAAAACCTATTTGGACCTACGGACTGAACTGTGGGGGACAGCTAAATTTTCGAATATCAAACGTATCCAATCCCACAACACAAGTACTCACAACAAAAGTCAATGTTCCTTATTATGTTGCAACAAAGCCTTACACCATGACCTTAACATTCCATATGTCCTTGACGTTATCCCATCCATATTTTCAAACTTTTACCAGAATCTTATTCATTATCCTAATCCTCTAGCGCAATCCCTATTCAGCTCCGACCATCTTTATAATCCTTCTCGAAGGTTAAGCGGCATTGGCTCCGGTATCTTTTTTAAATATGCTTTTGGAGCTCTGGCAATGGTCAGCTTCTCCATTCAAGTCCTTAGCGTCTGCGGTTCCAGTTCCCAAATTTCCAGTGGCTTCTAATACCAGTGACGCGGCTGGAAGAGAAGCACTGGGAACTTGTTTTATTTTCTACACGTGGAGGACAAAGTTTGTCGGTATTTGGTTGAGTAAATAGGGAACTCATGTCCATTTCCGAATCTATTGTTAAATATAGATTCAAAGTACTTAGTTTTATTTCTGAAATTGTAACTTA